GGAATGAAGTTGTAGCCTGAAAAGAAATTCTTTTAGAATTTTTAAAGAAAATATCAATGATAAATGTTTACCTGCAAGGCTGATAGGAGTGCAGACTTTTTTAGATCTATGCACGGATAACCAGTTAAAGCACAAAGCAAAACAAAGATGTATGAATACTTGAAATAATTAGCTAAGACTGAACAAAACTAAAATTGTAACAGTGGCTTCTAGCAAATAAAATTTAATTTTGAATCAGTATCCAAAAACTCTTGCATGTATAAGCTCCATAGCTTCACTTTTTCAGAGTCCAATGTGATATTCAAACTGGCCAGAATTGCTAATATAAATATATGCACACTGTGTCCTTTACAACCTGAGTAGGAAATACTATTAAATGTTAATAGAGATGCAAATCAGTGAACTCGTGGTTGAAAGTTTTTATGGCAGGTCTGCCTGTTTGTAATTCTTCTTTACATTTGTCCAGAGCAGCAAAATTTAGAATAACTGCTAAATTTTTTGATACAATATATTCTTCTTTAAAGAAAGCTTCTCTTGTGTCTCAGTGGTAAAGAAGCTAGCTGCGTGCAATGCAGGAGACACAGGAGATGGGGGTTCAATCCCTGGGCCAGGAAGATCCCCTCGAGGAGGAAATGGCAATTCACTCCAGTGTTCTTGCCTGGGAAATCCCATGGACAGAAGAGCCTGGAGATTTTTAAAATTTTGTATCAGGCATTAGCTGATTTATAGTATTGTTAGTTTCAGGAGTACAACAAAGTGATTCAGTTATACATACATCACTTCCTTTTCAATTATTTTTCCATTTAGGTTATTACAGATTTTTGAGCAGAATTCCCTGTGCTCTATAGTAGATCTTTGTTGTTTATCTGGTTTAGATATAGTAGTGTGTATATGTCAATTCTAATTCCCAATTTATCCCTCCCTCTCTGCCTTTCATCCTTGGTAACCATAAATTTGTTTTTACATGTGTGGCTCTACTTCTGTTTTGTAAATAAGTTCATTGGTATCAGTTTTTCTTTTAGATTCTGTATATAAGCCATATCCTATGATATTTATCTTTCTTTGTCTGACTTTACTTAATGTAATAACCTCCAGGTCCATCCATGTTGTTGCAAATGACATTATTTCATTCTCTTTAATGACTGAGTAGTATTCCACTGTATAGTGTGTACCACATCGTTTTTATCCATTCATTTGTCAATGGACATTTAGGTTGCTTCCATATCTTGGATATTGTCAACAGCACTGCAATGAATATTGGGGTGCATATATCCTTTCAAACCATGTTTTCTCCAGATATATGCCTCAGAGTGGGATTGCTACATTGTATGGTACCTATATTTTTAGCCTTTTAAGGAAACTCCATATCGTTCTCCATAGTGGCTGTACCAATTTCCACTCCCACCAAAGTGTAGGAGGATTTTTTTCCCATGCTCTGTTTATCACTTATTGTTTGTAGACTTTTTGATGATGGCCATTCTGACTGATGTGAGATGATATCTTTAGGTAGTTTTGAGTTTTATTTCTCTAATATGATTAGCAATGATGAGCATCTTTTCTTATGCCTGTTTGTCATCTGTGTGTCTTCTTTGGAGAAATGTCTAGAATAACTAATAAATTTTAAATATCACTCTTCACTTTTAAATAATTAATTTATTCTTAATTAAATTCTGTACGCTATCTTCTCTGCTTTATCATGGCATCCAGTATTCACCATGTGCCCACAGCCACAGAGGAGGGACATTCTCCTGTTTTATGCTGATGTATCTTTCTACATGAATATAGGATAGTTATTCTGCCATCAAGGAGATACAAATGTAGTTGGAGAAGTGAAGTAAACACAGAAAACAATTTGAAAACATGTAAAAGTTCTTCATGTCAATCTTATTGCTATTTCTAGGGTTTAGTATATACAGGTTTACTTGTGTAATATAGCAATAAATATGAACTTGGGTCACTTTGTTAATTCATAAATTAAGCAGATGTTTACTGATTACCTACCACTTGTAGGCAGTGCTCCAGGCTCTGGGGTATCAACAGTGAAAAGAATAGATAAAAATGACTTGCAGTCCTCCTGGAACTTACGGTCTAGTTTATCTATTGTTTACTCTCTTGGTTTTCAGGATCTTGATAGGATCTTGTTTCTTGACATTCTAGTAACTTTTGATTGAATGATGGATTTTATAAATAAAAATAGACGATATTTTATTCTTCCTGAAAAGGTTCAGTTTTTCCTCTGTTAATTGCAAGGAATAGAAGCTGATCACCTTAATTCAGTCATGAAATGGACTGGATAAGGGTTGATTTACAGTTTCAACAAGGACCCATACATCACGGGTTTTCTTTAGTCTTTCATACCCTTGTATATCCTGGGCCATTCTCTCAGAATGTTCTGAACTATAATAGTTTCCTCAGCATGAAGTAGCCAGACCTCTGCTATACTTTACAGAGACTTTCTCCCATCCAAGTCCTAACCAGGCCCAACCCTGCTTAGCTTCTGAGATCAGACAAGATGGGGTGCGTTCAGGAAGGTATGGCCATAGACTGTAGAGACTTTCTGCTTAGTCTCTCAGCATTCCTCATGCACAAGTTCATAATTTGGCAAAAGTCTTTGAAGACTGGCTGTGTATCTTACTCTCTTCTCAGCATCTCCTCTCTCACAAGAATCTTGGCTCCTTAAATTTCAAACATTGCTTATTTAACCCACTGAGACTGTTCTCTGCCCAGGCAAAATCCAGGTTCTTGTCTTCTTGCCTTGCACATCGAATCAGCTAATGTCCCCAGAGAAAATACAGTTAACTTTTCCATAATGCTTGCCAATCTGGTATCTTGGTTTTTCTTCTCTTCAGTGCTTCATCAGCTTTCAGATGACTTTAAGCAGATTTGGGGAGTTATTTTTATATTTTGTTTAGTTTTTTTAGCGTTTATTTTTTTTTGCTGGATCATTGGTCTGTTGCATGCTTACTATCTCATCCTTGTTTTCAGAAACTAAAATAGAAGAATTATGCCTTCTCTTACATACATCTGTACAATCACAAAGAATGTCGCCGGGAATTTCTATCCTAGCCCAATGTATTCTGGAATTAATTGGCAGAGTAAACAGGTAGAAATAAAACATTGAACAAAATCTTCAAAGCAAGTGTCATTGAAAAAGCTAGACAATTAACAGAGCTAATATTCTTTAGTACCCTGAGTCCAATGACCAAGAGCTGCTTAGATGGGTGAACTCAGTATAAGTGGGAATGTAGAAGTGCTGATTGTAGCTCTAGGGAGTTGTAGCTTCTGGATGCTTCTCTTGGCGTCTTATTATGAATTATCCCTACAGAAAGTAATCCTTGATTGTCATTGTCTTATTAAAATACTGTGGAACGGAGATGTTCTTTGTGCTTTTTATATCTCCACTGACAGTTGTAGGAAGAAGGTATAGCACAGTAGTTAAGTACATGGATTTAGGAGTCAATCAAATGTATATTCAAATCTTGTCCATTTACTGGATGCTCAAACTTGAGAAAGTTGCAAAAATTCTCTAAAGCCTTAATTCCATATCTTTGAAATGGGAATAACAATACATTTCATTGTTCTGATATGAAAGTTGCTGGGGACTGTATTTTTAAAATGCTAATAACAATCTCTGGCACATTGCTAACATGCAGTTTTTGGTAGCTAAAGTTTTTTTTTTTTTTTTGGCTACTATGGAAATGCATGGAGTAAGACCCAAAATTTTGAGATGAGGCCTTAAGATATTTACATAGCCCCTCCAAAGTAAGTAGATGAAGCACATGGGAAAAGAGTTGTCTTAAGAATTCATGTTTGTTTTTTGTTGTTAAATATCTGTGTATTTAAATATCAGACTTAAAAAACTATCTTAAATAACTCCAGAAAAAAATAACTGAATTGGAAGCAACTTTACTCTCAATGACTTAAAAAATGTGCTTCTTCATAGTTTCAATAGATAACTAATGAATATTTATCTACTGCATATTGTTTTAAAGTTAATCTAAGAAGAATTATGTTCAATGGGTACTCTAAGTTGTATAGGTATTATCATGTTTAAGAAAAGGAACAAAATTTAAAGTAAAAGAAAACTGAGTAAAAAAAATACTTAGAATTAAAAACTATGTACAGAGAAATTTGGCTCCTAGGTACCATTCATTAGTCAGGTGGTATTGATTGGGCAGGGTAAGTGATATTTTTGAATCCCAGTTTTCTTAGTGAAATTACAAATGGGAAAAATGATATTTACAATTTTCTTGACTATCAAATGAGAAAATGAAGATGCTTAATAAGCAATAAGCATGATCTTATTACCTGTTTTTAATAGTCCAGTGTACCTTTGAACCTTTCTTTGAGCTGTGAGGAATATAAACTTGTGTTTAATAGCAAGCAAAGAATAACTAGTTATGCCAAAAGAGTGATGAAGTGGAATCTGGCCATTGCTATTAAATAATAATTTAAGTCACACATATTTAAGTAAAATTTTACATCACTTCCCTACATGGAAATTTTTTCTCAAATCTTGACTTTCTTCTGAACATTATTCAGATATGACGTTATACTTATAACTTACTAACAGCATCTTTTCAATAGTTCTTACTTTGAGAAGACAGAACTGGAGGAAAGTAAGCTCTTCTCTTCGTTTCTAGTTAACTCTAATTCAGGAATTGTTTCTGCTCCCCTCATACTTGAGTGAGCATGGAATGATGCCTTTGCTGAGTATTTCTGTTTGATTTTCCAAAAGCTGTTGTCAGTCCTACAGCTCAAAAATGAAAGGCACATGGTAATTGGTGTAGCCACAGTCAGTTTTCAAATCTAATTGGAACTGACCCAGACACCCTCAGAGCTCCTCTTAGCCTTTCAGATTTATAAGCACATCTGGTGAGACAAAAGCAAGAAAGTTTGTTAAAAGGGGGAAAATTCCCTTTTGAGTGTTGCTGAACCAGAAAGCTTTGACTGTATGGTTCTCTGAGTCTGGACAATGTCTTGTGTGTTTGTTTCCACAGAGCATATATCATTACAGACTATATGGGCATCCGAAATGAAAGTTTCATGAAATTAGCTGCAGTAGGGACCTGGATGGGGGACTTTGTCACAGCTTGGATGGTAAGAAATTTTAACTTCACCCACTTCAAATGTCAGATGGAAGACATGCTCATAATGTTATACACACTATTTTTCTTTTTAAATCAATAGCTTCATGAATTATTTTATTTCATGTTATATTTCAAATAACATTCCAAAGTGAAAAAAGAAGGATCTTGTTTTCATGGTTAGCATTATTGCATTTGTGCAAAGCCCTCAAACATGAGAAAGTCTCAATTATTTCACCAAATTTAAAGAGTCATTTCAGTAACAGGCTTGTTAGATAATCCAAGTCCAGTTATCCCTAGTTTTCCAAGCAGTAAGTCACTGGAAATGCTGAGCTCTAATTGTTGATCTTTCTGTCAGCCCAGCCCCTTTTGAACATAGCAGTGCTATTTATTTTGCTACATCATTCCTCTGTCCTCCCAAGGGTTAAAGATACAGTTTTATTTTCTCAACTAATGTGAATTGGGTTTTATACAATACACACTATTTTTCATGGTTTAGGACAGAAGTTACCTCGCTTGCAAGGGGAACAAATTCATGAGAAAGACAAACCTAGAGATTATATACAATATCCATTTACCTCAGGGAAAAACATCAATACAATTATAGTACTAATGACGACTGTCTACTGAGATATGTTTATATATAATGTATGTATATATGTGTGTATATGTATATGTATAGACATGTATGTATGTGTGTGTATATATATATACACACACACACACACGTGTGTGTGGGACATACACATTCATCAAATTAATGGAAAACTCTTCTGGGAGATTTTAAATAATTTTATAAGGATTGTTTGCTTGATTTTGACATGTACACTTTTAAAGTAAGAAATACTGTTCAGGCTGTCTGATAAGACATATGAATATCTTTAAGGACTTTAAAAATGATTTTCTGCATTTCTTTTCCTCACTGAACCTACTAACTTAATGGTAACTAAGGAGTTCTGAGAGTTATCTATTTTAGTCTCTTTTGTGCCTTATCAGTCTTTATGTCTGCAGCAATTAGACAAACCATGTTTCGTGCTGGGCTCATCTGCCAGGAGAGTAATTCTGTATTTAACCACTGAGTTAATTAAAGACACTATGTAGCTTAAAGGCTCTGGGTCCTATAAGTTTATAAGAGTCTCAGAATGCAAAGAGCATTGTTGTTATTGTTTAGTCTCTAAGTCTTGTCTGACTCTTTGTGACTCCATGGACTATAGCCCACCAGGCTCCTCTGTCCATGGCGTTCTCCAGGCAAGAATACTGGAATGGGTTGCCATTTCCTCCTGATCCAGGGATCGAACCTGTGTCTCCTGCTTGACAGGCAGACTCTTTACCATTGAGCCACCTAGGCTTATAAAAATGGAACACTTTAGCACTCACTGACACCTTTCATAATTGCATTTAGCCCTAATTAGCTTTATTCAAGTTCATTCACTTACAAATGAGAGGACCTACCAAAAGAAAGATCATGCCCAAGTTAAACACAGCTTGGCAGGGACATGCCCTATAGATGTGTTCCTGATACTGCAGGGAGATTGTCACAACTGTTACTGCCATTGCTGTTAATAGCTTTGCTTCTTACCTGAAATAGGTGTTTTCAGGGTACAGGAAGCAGTTATTTCTTAATAGCTACTACTGTCATCATTTTGCAAGTGACCATAAAAGTATCAAGTGACCATAAAAGAGTTTGCCTAGCCTGTTTTTGAACTTCCTCCCTCCTCTATTTAATTTTAGAATGTTATCAGAACCTATTACCAGATGCTCTCCATTTTATTAACTTTAAAATTGAAATTTGAAAACATTATTTGTTTGTAATCACTAGAAATAGGAATGAGAATAAGCTAGACATTAAGACCAGGCAGCCTCATCTGTTTCCACTGGGAAAAACTATTTAAAGTGAAAGATCAACTTTAAACTCATAATTTCCTTAAAATCTGAGGTGATGCCTTTTGGAAATTTTTGCATTAATTGCGGTTTATGATTTTGATTCATTTTAAGATGGCTACTTAATAAAATGCAAAAGAGAACTGCATCAGTTCAGAAATTTGGATTCTCTAATCTTGCCACCTATGGTTTGACCTGCCACAAATAATATACAATCCTTTGAGCCTTAGTTTGCACATGTCTTGAAAAGGATTAATAGTTCCTATTAGTCCTCCTGGTTTTTTTGTGAAGATTATGTGTGGTTCTGGGACCAGAACCATTAAATGCTGATGTGTAAGGGAGATATAAATGCTTTATTGTTATTGTTCATGTTTTTGAACCCCCATACTCTTGACTGGTCCCAGTCCCTTGAAGTAATGCAAAGGAAGGTCATCGATCCAAACCTTAGTCTTCGGAGACTTTCTATTCCTCCTATGAAGCTCCAGGAGCATAGGAATCCCACCTTATCTCAGACCTGGGGTCCAGGCATTTGAAATTTTCTACTATGGCCCATGCTAGAGCAGATGAAAACAACAATATGGTACATTTCCTTTTCACCTCTGCCTGACACTGCCTCTTACCAAAGGCAGGGGAGAAGCCACAGACTAGAGACATAAGATCTGCTTTGAAGTTTGCAGGCTCAAGTCAGCCATTCGACACATAAACCTTTCTTTTCCATGATGACACCGTTATTTATTTGTGACCCAATTCCACCCAACTTCTCAGACTTTCCCACAAAATAGTGTTTCCTAGGCCAGGTAGGGGTTTCCCAGTAGTAGAGTGGTAAAGAATTTACCAGCAATGCAGGAGATATAGGTTCCATCTCTAGGTCAGGAAGATACCCTGGAGAAGGAAATGGCTACCTGCTCCAGTACTCTTGCCCAGAAAATACCGTGGACAGAGGAATCTGGCAGTCTGCAATCCACGGGGTCACAAAGAGTCGGACACAACTGACCGAATGAGCACACAAACACATACACAGGCTATATATGGCTCTGCTCGCATTTACTGGTTATGTTATTTTTATAATTAAACTATTTTTCTTTGGAATCGTAAGGTCGGGTGCAATGTCCGGGCAGCACTGAGAGGCAAATACAGGGTACGACTTTGACCAAAGACCTTTAACCTTCCTGATTGGATTTCTACCAGGCAGTCTTCTGCCCTACTCTTGTGGTTTAAGGGAATACCAATAATTCCACAGTTCAATCTGTAGTCTTTCTCTCCATCATCCGGATTATCTTCAGAGTTTCTCTTAAATTTACTACTTTAATTTCTTCTATTTCTACTAGGTAACCTTATAACTTTTTACCTTTTCCATACTGTAGATAAAGACTAGATTGAGAGTCAAGAAAACTATGTTGCAGGTTTAAGCCAGCAAACCTTCTGAGGTCTCTCATCTCTTCCTTTCTGTAAAGCAAGGAAGAATCAAAATCCCTTTCTGCTTATGTTATCTGAAAAACTGACCTTTCCCCATTAGTCACAGGGACAGAGATGGGGAAAAAAAAAGTTTTCTCCTGATTTGAAAGTTCAGTCACACAGAGAGGATTCCCAGAGCACATCATTTCTATTCCCATTTCTATTCACTGACTCGGCAGTACGTTTCCATATAAATATTTATATGTCTACATATGTGTGCATTGATAACATTTAAAAAAATAATAGTTTTCCTCATGAGAAGAGCCTAGGGAAGCTTTGACCTTCATTTGTTCAAAGAATTCTCATCATGAAATGAATACCAATGATGAAGGTGACTTGTGGAAAAGCAAGTGGTTATTTACGTTTCCGATAAAAGTATGCCTTTCAATATACTTTAAAAATAGAGAATTTTTCTCCGGTGGAAATAATTCAAAAGTTTTCCTTGGTTTTAAAAGGCATATCAGAAATGATGGAATCCACAGGTGAGGCCAATATGAACCAATCCGGCAAAAATCTTTGGCCCTCACATTAGTGAGTGTCAGGCTCTGCTCGGTTCAATTCCCTGGCAGTCCTGGCTATTCCAGGCTCTGCGGTATGCCTCGGGCAGAGGACAATGTGTCAGGGCTAAAGTTACTATTTTTTTTTAATTCGGATAAAAGAAATATATAAAATGACCAGATATTTAATTCAGCATTGAGCCGGCCCTTTATGTTAATAGTTGCAGAGACACAAAAGCAACAACGCAGGTGTCGTCTGTGACACCATGGCCATCTATCCCCATATTTGCCCACTCTCTGCCATTTAGCAAGGAGTTGAGGAGGGGCAGACAGTCCCACAGCACATGGCTTCAGCTTGACCACCTCCCCCTTTGAAAGACAGGTCACAGCTCTGCTGAGGTATAAAGTGACAGGAGATTTTGAAGACAGGGTGATGGCACCTGCTTCTGTCCCTCACCAGAAAATTACTTCCTGTCTACCCATACCTAAATCATCATCCTTGCCTCAGCCCCTGATCCCTCCTGCTCTGGTGACTTTCTTTTATAGCAGGAGGTGGTACATCGCTCATGGTAGTGACGGGGAAATCACATTCTCGGTTTGAGGTTCATGGCTGTGGGGAAGCGCTTGCATGGTGCTAAGTCGCTTCAGTCATGTTTGACTCTTTGGGGCCATGTGGCTCCTCTGTCTATGGGATTTCTCAGGCAAGAATACTGGAGCGGATTGCCGTTTCTTTCTCCAGGGGATCTTCCCAACCCAGGGATCAAACCCAAGTCTCTTCATCTCCTACACTGGCAGATAGGATTTTCCCACTAGCAGAGAGGTGAAGAAGGATAAAAATAAAGTGAAGACAGTTGTGATGGTAAACACTAATGTTATGATAAAGCACCCTATATCATAAAACCACATACTGTGTATACAGGCATTCAAAAAGGTGCTCAAGAAATATTTATTGTGGAAATAAATAGATATATTCTAAGAACACATAGCAGTAACTTCTTTATCTTCTTTTTTTGTTTAATTTTGTCACTTTGTGTTATAAAATGGGCATTTTAAAGTATTGTAAAGGTGGATGGGTGAGGGCTGTACTGTTTGGGGCACTTTCCTATACCAGCTCCCTTCCCGCCTTCCAACAATAAGGCTGTGCACTTCCTCCTGTTGAGCTTGTTTCCATAATCAGGAG